TGTACACGTTAAAGATCCCTCAACAGTTGGAAATAGAAAAAGTGTCTAGTCGTTCGGATGGGACAATAAACCAAGGCCCTGTGTTCTACAGACTGTACACGTTAAAGATCCCTCAACAGTTGGAAATAGAAAAAGTGTCTATTCGTTCAGATGGGACAATAAACCGAGGCCCTGTGTTCTACAGGCTGTACACGTTAAAGATCCCTCGACAGTTGAAATTGAAAAATAGCAGGCTAATGCTTCTATCTTGGTAAAATTACCCTCATTGTACACTGCATGGCGTTGCTCGTCTTGATTAACATATTATGTTCAGAAAAGTAAGATGTACAACACCATTATAATTCATTCCTGTATTTCCCAGATTGTCTCAACTAAGTTTTATGTTGTAATTATTTCAGGTGATTTTATATTGGAATATCTGGGTGAAGTTGTAAGTGAACAAGAATTTCGAAGGAGAATGACAGAAGATTATTCTAAAGATTGTCATCATTATTGTTTAAGTTTAGATTCTGGAATGGTTATAGATGGATATCGCATGGCCAATATTGGACGTTTTGTTAATCATTCTTGCGAACCAAATTGTGAAATGCAAAAATGGTAAGGGTTCAGGGATTAAGTATATAAGAAAAGATTTGGTCAACATTTTATAGTAGAGAGCAAAAAATCATATACAGATCTAAGTAGAATATTTTGATACCACGAAAGTTTAATCTAGATTAATTTATATTTTGTAAATTGATAAGAATTGAATTTGTAAACTAAAGGTATAAAATGAGAATGAAACTAACTACCTGTATATTATAGGACAGTAAATGGTTTATATCGGATGGTTTTATTCGCGTTACGTGATATAGATCCAATGGAAGAATTAACGTATGATTATAATTTTGATTCTTTCAACATGGAGACACAGGTTAGTTTAGTTTTTCTATTTATTTATTTTCTTACCTACTGATTAGAGCCTAGTTACACAGAAAATAAACAAAAAAACTTTTATTGAGTGATCTCCAAATCAATAATTCAACTCTTGTAACAAATTTTAACTTTTTCTAATATTGGAAATTAAACGTAATTTTGAAAATCAACCAAATATCATCAGCATGAAATCAACTTTACACTTCAGTTTGATTATTATTATCCTATTGTGTCACCTGCATCATTTGTTACAAACAGTTACAATAATTCATATTACACATAATAACACTATCATTTTATACAGACTCTAGACATCTAATTCTTAACTTTTATCAATTTTATTTTATATTCTAATTATAGCAAGTATGTAAATGTGGAAGTGAAAACTGTCGAGGTGTTATTGGAGGTAAAACTCAGAAAAATAATCAAATTAAAGAAAAATTATCATCTACACGTCCTGTAGGTCGACCACCTAAAGATAAACGAAAATCAAAATATAAACTGAAAAAATTTAAAGATAAAGTAAGTATATTTTATATCCTGTAAACAATATTTAATCCAGAGATATGATGAGTTTAAAACTGGAGAAATAGAAATTTAGATGATACAAGATAATTATATATTCTAAATATCTCTCATTGATTATTTGACTTTGTGTAATAAGACTGAGGGGGTAAAAACAGGTAAAATAGTCCTCAACTTGTAATATGTTAACTAAATCTCAGCAAGTTTCTACTTTCACTTTATCTATTTGTGACTAGGGGTTAGGTGAGATACTGGAATGAAATCATCTGAAATTAGAAAAGTATTCAGAAAGAACAAAGATAATTATATATTCTAAATGTCATCCATTTTGTATTTTCAGCAAACGAAATCTGTAGAACCTACTAGTGCTAATAATAAACTTTTAAATCATTCTGTGATAAAACCCATGTCAAATCGTGAACGGACATATTGTATTAAACATGGCGTGTTTCTTATACGTAATGTAGAACGTACAAAACATAAACAGTTAAAACAAGATGGTGTAGAGGTAAAAGAAACGTGTAATATCTCTACTACTGTTAATAATACAGATAATAATAATATTACTACTGTGATAAAACCAGGTTAGTTATATTTTATATTTACAATAATAATCAAATAGATATTATAATCACAGATATACTTGAGATTTAAATAGATCACTTGTCTAGAGATCACACAGACTGTAACTTTCAGAAACAACATGTTTCAGGTTCATTTTAAATATTTCTGATGTTATTTCTATATCAGATTTTATCAGGATAACCTTTTCTAGCACTCTGTCTACAATCTGTTCTTTGGCAAAACTACTTTGCAATGATTTTACACGAATGACATGAATTGTTCTTATTCAAGGTTAGACCCGTTGAACTGCAGGTTTAAGAATATAGCCAATTATTGTGTTTGATTAAACATACAGTCAAACTATAAACAGTCTATATGTCAAAGGCTCTGATTGGTTGTATTCAGGTTCTGTTTTAATATTAATAATTCTGATGATATAAAATTAATATTGATATTTTTAGATCTGATTCGAAGTCAGTTAACTCAGAGAGAAGATAGATCAGTAAAAACACGGCTAGTATCGAGAGTAGAAGATAATCCTGAACTTCAGAAACGATGTCAATTAATAAAATTATTTAATAAAGTTTATGATACAGTTGCTAATTATAAAGGTAAGATTAATACAACTTCATGTTTAAAATAGATTATACTGATTAAAAATAAATACCCTCATTAGATGACTGGAACACTAAAATCATTTCAAGTTCATTGTGATTGAGGCCTCTGATTTGACTGATTTCAAGTATTGCCTGTTTACTGTAGTTTTAAACCTATTTAGATATAAATTCAGTTGAAATATTTGGATAATTTCTGTGTATTTTAGATGAAGATGATAATATTCTAGCCACACCCCTGATGAATTTACCAAATAAAAAGAAATGTCCTGATTATTATAAAATAATAGATGAACCAGTAGATTTAACCACGATACGAAATCAGATACAGACTGGAGAATACGAGACGTTAGATAGTTTAGATAAAGATGTTTTACAATTATTTAGAAACGTAGAGGTAAGAAATATTTAATTAAATGACATATAGACGAAAACACAAACCATATCGGATTAAGGGGTGATTAATTTGTTTCCTGTAAAAAACATGTGGATACCAGGGGTTTCTGGATTGCCAGAGACCAGTTAAATGTGTTTGCAACCCAACTGTAAATATGATGGTGGTTTATAATTGTAACTTTGCATCACACCGTAAACTGTGCCAACTCTCAAAAGCACTGACACAGGCATCAGAATTGTTCTACCTTGAGGAGTATTTCTACCCACAGCACTTAATGGCCTAACAAATGTCAATGTAAGAGATATTTGATTTTTCTGTTTTTTTTTGGGTTTTTTTTTGACTGTATTAATTCATTGTTATATTAATGTTTGTAATTTATCTTTATAGAGATATTGTGGTCGGAAATCTGATATGGGTAGATTGGTATTAAAACTACGTAAAGTTTATTGTTCAGCCAAGAATGAAGTTATTCCATTAATAGATGATATTTTATCTGATGGACAGATTGTTTCTAACACCCCTCCTATAGCTCCTCCAGAAATAGATACAGAGAGTATAGAAAACAGGGCTATTAGAGGTGAGTTATATTCTCTTTATATTGTTATAGTCTAACCAAATCTCTATATTCTATGATACAAGACAGATGGCTATTACAATCAAGTACGATGTTTGTAATCACTTGACAGTATGAAGAATGAGTTACTACCCCAGGTTGTGATAGTTGGTACCCCCAGGTTGTGATAGTTGGTACCCCCAGGTTAAGATAGTTGGTACCCCCAGGTTGTGATAGTTGGTATCCCTAGGTTGTGATAGTTACTACCCCAGGTTGTGATAGTTGGTACCCCCAGGTTGTGATAGTTGGTACCCCCAGGTTGAGATAGTTGGTATCCCTAGGTTGTGATGGTACCCCCAGGTTGTGATAGTTGGTACCCCCAGGTTGTGATAGTTGGTACCCCTAGGTTGTGATAGTTGATACCCCCAGGTTGTGATAGTTGGTACCCCCAGGTTGTGATAGTTGGTACCCTAGGTTGTGATAGTTGATACCCCATGGTTGTGATAGTTGGTACCCCCAGGTTGTGATAGTTGGTACCCCCAGGTTGTGATAGTTGGTACCCCCAGGTTGTGATAGTTGGTACCCCTAGGTTGTGATAGTTGGTACCCCCAGGTTGAGATAGTTGGTACCCCAGGTTGAGATAGTTGGTATCCCTAGGTTGTGATAGTTGGTACCCCCAGGTTGTGATAGTTGGTACCCCCAGGTTGTGATAGTTGGTACCCCCAGGTTGAGATAGTTGGTATCCCTAGGTTGTGATGGTACCCCCAGGTTGTGATAGTTGGTACCCCCAGGTTGTGATAGTTGGTACCCCCAGGTTGAGATAGTTGGTACCCCAGGTTGAAATAGTTGGTATCCCTAGGTTGTGATAGTTGGTATCCCTAGGTTGTGATAGTTGGTATCCCTATGTTGTGATAGTTGGTACCCTAGGTTGAGAACCAGGGTCTAGGTTAGGAGTAACAATTGATAAATAACAATATATATAATTTTATTATAGATCCTCCAGATGAAGAAGAAGAGATTATCCGATGTTTATGTAATGTTTTCAGAGATGAAGGTTTGATGATTCAGTGTGAAAAATGTTTTGTAAGTAATTATAATATTTATATCTGGTCTCTGATCACTATAACTGATAGATACCAGTCTAAAATAAACTGATTCTTTCTTCAGTCTTTCTTTATACCTACTTCAGTCTTTCTTTATACCTACTCCAGTCTTTCTTTATACCTACTCCAGTCTTTCTTTATACCTACTTCAGTCTTTCTTTATACCTACTTCAGTCTTTCTTTATTCCTACTTCAGTCTTTCTTTATACCTACTCCAGTCTTTCTTTATACCTACTCCAGTCTTTCTTTATACCTACTCCAGTCTTTCTTTATTCCTACTCCAGTCTTTCTTTATACCTACTTCAGTCTTTCTTTATTCCTACTCCAGGCTTTCTTTATACCTACTCCAGTCTTTCTTTATACCTACTCCAGGCTTTCTTTATTCCTACTTCAGTGTTTCTTTATACCTACTCCAGTCTTTCTTTATACCTACTCCAGTCTTTCTTTATACCTACTCCAGTCTTTCTTGT